GAATGTTCGTCCTGGAATGTTTATTTATGCGCATTTGTGCCATGCGTTCAGCTATTTCCAGATGAGCGCTCCGCTTGTGTGCAATATTACAAAATCATTTTCAAACCGCACTCGGAATCCCGAAAACCCCGAGCCCCAGAAGGGCTTGCAGTCCATAGTTTAGTTTAGGGAGTGCAAATTAAATTTCATGCTAAACTCGAAAGCACCAATTCCCCAATCTCCATGTTGGTTCGACTCATTAAAAGTTTGTCTGCGCGGCGTTTAGGAACACCCATAAACAATATTTACTTGCATTTGTTGGCTTATTTTCAGGGTTTTTGTACTCCAGTCCTCCCCTTTTCCTGCGGCTTTTCACAGTTTTCAATTCAAAGGCATTTCCATTTTGAATGAATGTAATGTTTCTATATGAATGCAATTAACAGCTCTGTTAAATTTGAGGCATTACATTGGGGCATACTTTTAGGCTGAAAAGTTTAAAGAAATGTAGAGGAAATGTATCTTAATGATTTCAGGCTGTTGGGAGTTGATTGATTCAACGTTTAGGCATCCGGTCATAGACATAGTATCCTTGGGCCTACAGGAGTAGGTGACACGACTGGATAATTGGACCAACTTTTTAGAGGATTAGACGACAGAAAAGCACTCAGAACTTTCGAAAGCTGCAAGTATGTCCTGGCTGTTTGTGCCGATATTGATTTTTGTTAATTTATATAACCCATTTATTTAATTTATAGGTTATAGGATAGGTTAATTTATACTGATATTTATACGCAAGTCTGCGGCATAACGACAAAACTCAACCTTCATATAAATACAGTAAGTTAAAGTACGATTGTTAGAGCTATTTGTAACGATCCCTGGTAAATGTGGACTAGAGACATCATGAAATATCTGTAGATCCCAAAATAGGCGATGTTTTTCTGTCACACGCTGAACATGATTTAATTCATTTTGGAATTAATCCTGGAAAAGGATTTTGGTAGAGAATCCAAAGGGATATTGAAAAGGCACAAACCACATGACCTCCTGCCTAAATATTTAATACTTCCAACTTAATAGAAACTAAAATGCAGAAAAATTTGGAAAGCAAATTTTAGTTTTGAATTATATGAAAAACTTGAAACAAGAAAAGCAATATTTTATTAGACAAAGTAACACTCAAATACTAAAATGTTGTAGAAAAGATTCATATTGGGATTAAAAAATTGTCCCAATAAATAAATTGAATAGCAATTTGCTTGTGGGTCGTGTCATGTAAAAACATATTTATATGCGACAGACCAGCCAAAAAAGCGTTATTAAATTTATGCATTTATCGTGTAGGAAATCTCGTTGTAAGCTGTTAAGGAAATATTTTATTTTAAAGAGACGTCAGGCTGTCTGCATAGCTATATTCATATATTTATTGCATTTTCCATCTCGCCATCTCGTTTATTAAATCTGAAATAAAAAGTGCATAATATATGCAACCTTTGTTGATTTATGTGTGACAAGCAATTTAATTCAGACCAGTTGCAATAGCTGGGTAAAAAGCGGATCAAAAAGGGATTGCAACCATGAGGCACATGTTGCTAGCGTATCCTGCTGCCACATCCTTTTCGAAACGGCTATAATCACAGTAATGCGGCAGATAACAGTCAAAATATCGAGATGGAGGGAGAAAAAATGCTCCGGGGAATCCAATGACAAATCCTGAAAGGAAATGCGAAAATAAAGTTGGCAATAAAGTTTATCCAGCCACGATGACTGACCAAGGACGCAGCTAAGGGGAAAATAAGAAAAGTTTTTGGCCAACTAAGCTGTAATAACTGCTGCTGGCCGCCCAATCGCCACCCACAATTAGCGAAAGCAGCTTACTCAATAATTTAATAGAATTGATTATTATTTAAGTGCGGACAAGCCAATTTCAGGCCAAGGCAGAAAGGGCTGCGAAGTCCCGAAAGGGTCGCAAGATAAATGCCTGGCCATCGTGGGTCAAGGAATTGGGTAGCAGTAGCTATATATATTTATATATACTCGCATTTTTGTGTGGCTGAAACTGAAGCTGGCTGTCTGTTTGTGGCGACTCCGGCACAACGGATGCGAGAAATCAATTTAAAAACCATCGGCCAAAGGGAGTTCCTGGCCAGTAGCCGCCCACCGGACAATGCCGGCAATATTATACGTACGGCTATAAATATTTATAACGCCCCCTCGCGCCCCTCGACCGCCTGTCTGCGAGGAATTCAATAAAAACATGTGCAATAAATAAGGGGCCAGCAAACTGTAAATACCCGGAGCGTAGGCGTATACGCAATATGCGATCTTCTTCGATTCTTCAATTTCCATTTGGGCATTCTGCATTTGCGATTCCGTAACACGCCCACCTATGAGTTCACACAATTAAGAAACGCATTTATCGCACCCAACCCAAGCAAACACACACAACACACAAAATGCTGTTGGGTCTGAGGGGCGGAAAAAGTAATTCCGAGTGGGCGTGGCAGCCTGTGCAAGCTGCCAGCTCCTTAAAATTCATGAGGCGTCGCCTGCAACTGTAAATTGCATTTATACGCAAGTCAAACAGCACTCAACCCAACTGATGTTGCAGCAGGGCAGAATGAAAGGCGACACATCCGGTGCTCTGTTATTTTTCACCGTGCAACATTTGGCCCAAACCCATTTCCCTCGCAATCCTCCAGCCCTGTGGAAGCTGCTGCGGCTAACGAGGCGGCCGACCGACTAGAAACATTACTACTGGAGTCATCAGTGCACTGGAAGAAATCTTCGCACTCCTTTTCTCTCCACACATGCCATTATATGGGTTTAAAAAACTTAAAAGGTCACATTTAAGCACTATTTAATATTAAGACAATACATTTCGAGACTGTGAGCTTGAAGAAGGAGTTTATACCTTTACACACTGTCACTAACAAATTGAAGGTTATTAAACGCTAGTTGATAACAAATTTACTTTATTTTGCAGTGCTGCGACTGCTGCCCTGGTCAGCAGTTGAAAAATGCATTTGGCGTGGCCACCAGAAAAACTGGAGGCGGTCGCCTCTGGAGGACGAAGTCGGTACATGTGTAAGGCCGAGCCAGTCAGACAGCCGAATGGCAAAAGGAGTCTGCTCCGGATGCAGAAACATTTGTTTTGTCTCGGCCAAATGGCCAAATGGCCGAAAGCCCAAGAAATGGTCAACAAACATGGCCAGGATGTGAATGAGCTGACCAAGCATCCTATCATTTATTTGCAAGAGCAGGGCAAAGTCAACAGCAAAACTCTGTGGCATAATTAGCAAAGGACTTGGGGTTTCTTACTGCCATGCAGACATTCATTCAAGCCATGGCACAAAAAATATCACAACTGATTCTTTTGGCCTGGAAATGGTATTGCTATATAGGGTATCAAGGACGCATTTCTTAAGAGGAAACATTTTTCAATCAGTTGCATAAGATATTCAAACGGTTCCTGAAGCCTATCATTCACCAAATCCCATACAGGGCAACTTTCATCTGCTGCTGACGGCTTACAACACCAATCGATGGGGCTTATACACACGGCTTATTTAGACGGTTGGTCACGATAATTGACGTATCCTTCAGGGCATTCAATTCGCAGGACCACAGGGCCCACTCTGCGTATACGTGTTTTATTCGCTAGCTCCACACACCGAAATCGCCACTAGAGGCGCCCGAAATTCCTTGAGGATGGCGATGGGGAAGATAGCGAGTAGACGGCGTGGCAAAGTCGATTACTTTCGTCTCGAGTGACAGCAAACAAGTCTCAAATTACGGAGTAGTTAACTGCCAAGGACGACGGGTTCGGGACGGGCAGCTGGGGCAGCCCTGAATGAATGAATAAAATGAATGGCTTATCTCTTGTTGACATTCGTCTATGACAACATTGACCAGTTGACGACTGGCACACGCAGAGGGCACCACACATATTCCTGGCCTTTGTGGGTTCGCAATCTTCTGCTGTTCTTACACAGAGAATGATTTTCGATAAATTTATCTAACAAAGTTCATAAAAAACTGCTCATAAAATGTATTTTTATTCATTTAATTTATCTGCGAAACTACTATTACCACGAACATCTCACCTAAGAAATATGAAATCTTTCCGTGATTTCTTCTTGTCCATGCTGAAGAAGGAAAACTCCTCGTATCTGAGTCAGCATCCGAACACCAAAGGGACTTTCTTCGCTTGGCCAGCCTCATAATTTGTGTGCATCTGTGGTATGGGGATATGAGGATACGGGGTTGGGTTCGTGTTTATTGTGCAATAAGCTGCTCTCACTTGGCGTCTCCTTCCTGCGTCCTGTGCCTTGCGTCTTGCTCCACCTCCTTCCACTTTGTGTGTGTGCGTAAATCCGCTTTTAATGAAAAGAAAACCCATCCGAGTTTTATGTGCCGGCTCCTTCGGAGCACACACATGAATACAAAGTCGTTATAGAAGAGTTCCCGTCGGCTGGGGAGGGGGCATCTTGGCCATAACAAAAGGGCAACAGTTAATGCCGAACCAACTAAATAAATCTCCTTTTATTTTCCGAGGCATGTGAAGCTGGAAACAGCTGTGAGCTGCCCAGACCGTCCTCCTTCAGCGTTTCACCCTCTTTTTGCTCTGAGCCTTTCCCCTGGCCATCTTTAGAAATCCCTGGAAATCACTAAATAATCGAATGGCTGGAGTTTCTCCACGAAATTATCGCATAAACAAGTCAATTTGTGCAGCTTTATGCAGGTTCTCTTGAGTGGCACGCAAAGTCCCGAAAATGGTTTTCATCTATAGCAGGAAGCTAATGCTGGGAGTCCTTGTGGCGCTCAAGATATGTAGCTCAAAAATATGTAGCTTTTTGTATTGCAGGAAAGTAATTTTATTTTTAGATTAAACAGGGAAATATTGAAAACACAAAGTTAAACAATTGAGCATAGAAAAGTGGCGATATTGGTTTTGCTTTTAGAAGGTCCTGGATAGTAGCTGGAGTATTTGGAGTGCTTCGCTTGGGGATCTTTGGTATTTACCAGCCGCCGCCTCCCTGCTTGCCACCACCTCCACCGCCGCCGCCGTGCTTGCCACCACCACCGCTTCCACCTCCATGCTTGCCACCTCCTCCGCCACCGCCGCTGCCGCCCTTTTGCCAGCCTCCTTGGCCACCACCGCCGCCTCCTCCGCCGTTCTTCTGTTGCCAGCCGCCTTGGCCTCCACCTCCTCCTCCTCCGCCATTCTTTTGCCAGCCTCCTTGGCCACCTCCACCACCACCGGCTCCACCGGCGGACACAATGGCAAAGATCACTCCGATGAGGAGAACAGCAAGCAGAGCGAAGCGCATGATGAACTGGATATCCGTATCTGGTAGTGACTTCCAAGTAACTGATGTCTTTAGCCCAGCTGCAGCCCCGCTTATATACTAACTACCCTGAATACAGCCAAGTCATGTTGCAGCCATGGCAGAGGAAACAGATGATCTTGATCTTGAGCTTGCAACCCACTAGCGAACAAGATAGACACCAAGCCCATTAATCATGTCGTGTGCAGCGGGTGTTAACAGTCTCATTTGGTCTCCAATTGTTGGCACACAACTTGTTTGCATATTGCAAAGTATTGTCTGGAAGCTGAGAAAGAAGTTACTCATATTGAGGAAGGCAGCGAATCAAACTCACAATCTAAATCTAGTGAAACAATTAGAACGTTGATAGTTGCTACGTTAAATTGACCTTAAAAATCGCCGTTGAGTGGTATAAGTGTGTAGTTATCGTTAATCACATGGAAAATTGATTTAATTATTCCGGTTAAATTATGTTACAGGTGGTTAATAGCATTTTCGGCCCTAGAAGGTATATATATTCCTAATCAGGATCAAGGATCTGTCCAAATGAGCTCTATGATCACGGGAACTGGAAAAGAACGTTGAGATTAAGTGCAAATCTAGAGATTCCATGGTGTACAGAACATTTTTAAAAATTGTATTATTGTCAGATTCAACATGATTTAGGCAAATTTTATAAATTAAACCTTAGTTGTGTAATCTTCCATTTTTTAACTATTTATACGAATATCTTTTACTCTTTGGAGTACTGGACCACCTTTCAAGCTATTTTCACTTTTAATTTTCGGCAACTTTCGCTGTGATTTATGCGGCCTTGCAATGTGGGCTCCTCCACGTCTGCTCCATTTGCCTTTGACCCAGAAACTCAAGACCAAAAAGGGAGCAGCGCCTTTGAGCGTTTGTTTTGGCCAGCAGTCAGCGAGCCATTCGATGGAGCAGATGGCCCAGAGTGGAGCTATACTTCCGCCCAGCTCCCAACTTTATTCCCGACTTTCAGCATTATCAGCTGCAGTGCAGCATCTGATTTATGGGCGGCAATTGCGGCTAGTATGCCGGCCATTCAAATGAGTTTTGACGTGATTGTAATAAATTGTCGGTCAACCGCGGGCCTTGGTCCCTTCCACTTCCACTTCCACTGACCACCAAGGGAAACTTTGCTCTCAAATTTATATTTTCATAACTCTCCATAAAAAGCGGCTTCTATAACCGGGCAAACTTCACTTGCGAAATGCAAAAAAGTAGCAGCATTAAGAAGGGGATTTCTAAGGTAAGGAAAAGCACTTCTTTTCACATTTTCTTTTGGAAAAGGAAGGCACTCTAATAGATCTATATAATACAAATTCGCGCTGGAAACAGTGTTATTAAGGAACAGCATTTAAGATTTGTTTAATTAGCTGAGCGGCTGATCTTGCCCGCATTAATTACACGCCACGTTTCAGCATGTGTGCCCAAATGAAAAATCCCATGGTCATTAGCCCAGGTCCTGGACAAAGTGCTAAGGCCTAAGCAAACAGGTTGATTAGCAACTCGGACAAAAAGTTGAGACCGCAGCAGAAAGCATGTTTGCCTTTCTAGCCGCAAATGTGACCAAAAAGGAGAGAAGGAGCTCCAGGAACCAGAATGGAACCTGGATGAATGAGGAAATAGTAATTTGCATAAAAAGGTTAGAGCATTAAACGTGGCCCAATTTTCAGGGACAGAAACTCCTGGCTGCTGACTAGCTTTTGGCCGTTAAGTGCGCTCGCAAATGACAAACTAGTCAACAGGACGACACCGGCAAGTATCCTTTGTCTGCTGAGTCAGCTGAAAAAGAATTTCACTTACATTTTGGCACAGCCTTTCTGCTTTCCCCCACCAGCCCCCTGCCCTTCTTGGCAGTTATTCAAAAGTTAAATCACAAAGTTTTGCTGGCCAAAAAACAATTCGCGCGCATTTAACCTGAACGAAACAAAAAGTTGTTTCAGCCGGAACGGGCAAAATGGAAAAATGGAAAAATGAAGAATTGGCGAAAGAAGTGAAAAGGGACTGGATTTGACTTCAAAATATTTTGCAACATTTCTATTTCGCAAAGTTTTCCCATTGCGGTTGGAGTTTGCAGTCTGCCACTGACATGGCTCCCCTTCAAACGAGGAACCACCCCGAAATGTGATGCTGCTCCACCCCAGGACATGACTCTAATTAGTAGGAGGGCCATAGACAATCCCTGCTCATAAAAGTCAACGGAGCTTGTCAAATGCAATTTGTGTGTGTGGATGCCACAGCACATGACTTGAACTGCAGAACCCCGAGTGCTCAGTGCAAATGCTCAAAAGGCATAAATAACTGCTTGAATTGTGGCAAGCTTGTCACTTTGACAGTTGCAAGTCCTGCAGAGATGTCCTGTGGGTGTGCAGCCTCGACAATTAAATTGTAATTCAATGCATTGACAGTTGTCGCTGGGGAAACTCAACATTCGACACGACAGCTGCTCCGCGCCAGTTAATCAGCTCTAATCGACACCTGAGGCTGGTGAAACCGCGCCCAAAACAGATTCTCAAAATAATAAGCATAATAATCAGGGCAACAGCTCAGAGAATGCTAATGCCGCCACGCAGAAATTAAATTTCCATTAGCCTTTACAGCGCCGAGGAGGCCAATGCTCAGCTAAAATAAAAGCACTTATATATCTATTTCCGTGCATATTTGTAGTACAAGTACATAAGCCGAACTGCTTACACGTGACGCACACAAATACACTGAGCCACGCGCTCTCCAGCTTACAAGGGAATGCAGAAGCCTCCTCAAGGTCACCACTGTCAGTCTGTATTGAGCATATGTATGTACGAGAGGTTGTGCCCATAACACAGATGTTTGGAGGAACGCCCCCAGTGCTTGGGGGCCTAAAAGCGACCAACGCCTAAAAAGTCCCCCAAATACCACTACCGAGCTGAGGTCCCCGAGTTTTGGCCCTTTATGCATTGCGGAGGCTGGCAAATATTTATTTTGGTTTATCAATCATACGCACCGTGAGCCAAATACTGGGAACAGCTCGCAGCACAGAGAGTGAGAACAGTGCACTGCACTGCGCAGAATCGCCAACTTGCAGGAAAGCACGTGGTTGTTAACAGCATTCTGTTAGCCATGGCTTATTCGGGGGGCCAAGGCTAAGGCTGGTCCTGCAGGGTCCTTGTTTGGCCGAATGCGGGCAGAATGCGCACAATGGGTCGAAAAGTTCGTTGGTGACAAGGAAATGCTTTTCGGAAACTTCAAGCCGAGAGTTTGCTCGATTTCAATGCACCTCTGTTGTTGCTGCTGTGCAAACTTAATCGGGTGGCCAGTGTCCAAAAGAGGGCTTAGGGCCAATGTTCCACATCGTATGCAAACACACACTTGCAAACACGAACATGCTACACTGGCTGGCCATCAATGAAGTCAAGTCGAGTTCAAAATTCTTGTCTCTGACCCAAAAGCTGTCTGCGAGTTGTAAAGTTTCTATTGCTTTTGATGGGTTTTTCCCGGGCCATAAAAGAAGGCGATTGGTCAGCAGACAGCTGAAATAAGATGATATATCGCTTATTGTGGTATTAGTAATGCTATTGGCCAGGGATATTCGCCTGGTTGATTGCCCTGCAGTTAAGCCCACGCCAATTACTTGTCCAGCTGTTTTGTTGTCCTATCGTCTAGCCGAGAATTGCCTCAAATTCGCCTGTGTAGGCCCGGCCTTGACCTCCAGCCACCTTTGACCTGCAAGCTGGGCGTTGTCTGGGCGAAATATTTGCCAGTTGACTGACTGTTTGCCCACCTGTCTGGCTGTAGATGGCATTTTTCACAGTGCAGACTGCTTAATGGTCCATTACGAGGTGTTCAACAAATTGGTGCACATCTAGCAGAGTTATTGCTGTCAGCTGAAGAGCTTTGCTTAAGACAACATTTTTATTCACATTTTTGGTTTAGATAAACCTATTCTTTTCTGTTTTGTCTAGGATCAATTTTTTTGTTTTTAGATCAACAATATTACGAAGTTCAAAGCACCTATGCGACCTAAATTGGATCTGCTAAAAGTATTTCAGTTCTCAATGCGGGCTTGTTACTTAAGACTCACAGAACTTTTATCCTGAAATTACCAGGGAGAATTCTAATAGGTACTGATTGTTAATTATAGATTCACAATTTGTATCATTTAACTTTGGCATTTTAATTTTTCTAAATATTGAAATACTTTAATAATGAGAGTAGGGTAATGATGAGGGTGGTTTGAGTCTTCTTTTGACCCTTTTGATCCTTTTGACGATGAAAATACTTCTTATCCTCCTTATCTAAATCCTTCTTATGAAAGAATACAAACTAGACAAATGCATAGCTTACTTATTTATTGCCAGACCTTTGCTTAATATTTTCTCATTATGATAAATTATATTTTGATATGGTGTCTTCCTAATTACAAGTTGACAGCATCGCTAAATATTTCTGGGTTGATCCTAAAATCGTAAAATCATATAGATGGAAAATATATAAATGGTTTCGTTTTCACAAAAATGAATCGCATAGTGTGGATTGGCTGCAATCTGCCCACATTATATAGAGTACATTCAAGCCTTTCTTAAGATGGTTCTTAAGTTCCTGCACATGTCGTTTTCCCAAGGTAAACACATTTCGAAATTGCCACAGAGCGCAGCTTGAAATTAAAAGTTAAATAAGCACAGCTGGCAAAAGGCTGAGTGGCAACGAGATGGGGAATACGAGCTGAGTTTAATGAAAAGCAATTAATCGCTTTATGTTAAACACACACTGAATCTGTAAGCAGAGCAGCGGGTGAGTGGGAGCCCGGCTGCTGTGCAAACAGATAAAAGCGCAAAACTGTTGACATTGCCAAGAGCTGGAATAATAACAAAAATAATAACAAAATGTCGCTTTGTTGTCGTGTGCTTGTCAAACTGAATTTCCAACAGCTTTTCGTTCGCCGGCATATACATATGTACGTTTTTTCAATCGGCATACCCAGAAAGTGCAATTCTTCACAGAAATTAATCGCTTTTCATAATCAGATTTGCGATTCGAAAAGTGACAAAAGCACTGACTTACATCTCCATTTATAACTGCTTCCTCCGCTCGTCTGATTCGGTGACATTTACGCAAAAAGTTGATGAATGTCACGAACGAAAGCCAAAAAGTTGGCATCAAGTCAAAGGCAAAAGTCGCAAGGACAAAGTTTCGCAAGCCATAAATAATACATATAACAAGGACTACAACTGCGGGTACAAACAACATTGCAGACAGCGCGTAATTTTAATTATTATGAACTCCAAAATGCGCCAAATTAGAGATTCATTGGGCCCGACAAGGGGGCGGGGCCAATTAGGAGGGAGGGGCAGAGAATCACAAATGCCAAAACTTTTCCCCTCGCAATGAACTTTTGCCACAGTTCATTTGTGTCAGTACGTTGTCTCACTTTCATACTTTTCCACATGTGCAGTACATCTGAGGTCAAAAATGTTGGCCCTACATAATGTCGGTAGATATGACTGGAAGTTCTTCAAAATTAATATCTCTTGTCGGATCCCAATTACCAATAACTTAAACTAACGATATCCATTACTTGATAGAAAATCGTAACATATGCAGGTTAAAATTTGGACAAATTGATTAGCAATTAATTGCGAGTCCAACGAAGTATGGAATTCCATATCTGCAATATGGCATTTGCAAAAAAATACTTTCGGCAAAATAACATATTTTTGGGTACATTTTCAGCTTAAACATACTTGTTCGTAAATACACAGCTAAATTAATGGCATTCTTTTGCAGTCTGCCACACTTGAAAATTGAATAGTGCGTTAATATAACCTTTACATTAAAGTAGCCACACAATTTTAAGCTTGTCGGTGCTAATAACCCGACCCGCGCTGTAAGGAGCCACGCCTTCAGATGCCAGACTTCTATTCCAAGCCAAGCGCTCAAAAGCAGGCAACAGAAATTCAAGCCTCCTGCTTTCTGCGCCGGCAAGTAGGCAATGTTAATTGCAGGCCGCGCAATTCAGCCACGCGTGTGTTTGTGCCTGCTTGTGTGTGTGTGAGCCGTGTGCTCAATATCAAATTCATGTAAATTTAATTACGCATGCCTGCGTCGTGTTTAGATATGCATGCAGATACTAGGCGTGTGTTTTTGGGTTTCGGGGGCAGAGGGCAGGGGCGCCGCAATCTTGTAGCTAATGTTTACGCATATTTGATTTCACTCGCAGACACACATGGCCAACACAGTGCTGCCTAATTAAATTGTTTATTTCCCTCAGAAGAACTACTTAGCAGCTGAAGGATTATGCAGATGCGGGCGTGGCCGGGGCGGCACGAATTGAAGTTGCAGCAGCATCAAAGTTGCATGTTGATTTCCAACTGTGTTCCGTCATTAGCGAACTTTCAAAAGCGAAACTACTATTAAATTGCAAATTTCGGAGTTCGCTGCGTTTAAGCCGAGAATTTTCCGATTCCAGACTTGGCCTTAACTTTTAATGCATCGCAAATTGCTTGCAATTAACGGCACACGGCAATTTTGCCCTTGTGTGTGTCTTGCATTTTGTTCGGAAATCGTAAAAGTAATTTGAAAACTTTTCCCCACGATTTTTCCAAAACGAAAAGGGGGCGAAAAAATAAGGCCAAACGCAAACTTTATGCAAAGTTTCCGACAAAGTGTTGCCGGCTAAACAAACTGCAGACGAGCGACACGCCTCCCACGCCCCTTTGCAAAATCCTGGAAGATTTTACCTTTGTTTATTGTCAGCAGCAAAATAATTTGGAACTCCACTTCCGTTGGAACTTTTGCAAAGAGCAAATGAAATGGAATTCGGAAAATATGGATTTGCTGCTTGGTACTCCAATACAAAGCATATATGTGAGGAGATCTGTGGGCAGAAGTTGGTCTTTAAAATGTTGGCATAAATTGCTGCAGACGTTTTAATTTCGTCCTGTTTTCCTTTCCAATGCAACTCTACACATATATATTTCGATTCCCTTTTATCTACCCCAAAGTCGCGAAAGTTAACGCATAAACCAAGCCGGCTCCTGGCTCTTTGGCTCTCCAGTGCTCCTGTTCCTTGCTCTTGGCTCTTAGCTTTTCTGGAGTTGGCAGCCGGGAACCCTTCACTTGCTTTTAGTTTCAAAATGAAGCGATGGGAGCCAAAACTCGTTATCGTTTAATTCAGGCGAACGGCGAGCAGAGGAATCAGTGGAAATGAATCCCGTCGAGTCGAACTATTGGCAGCTGACTTGAATTTTTTTCTATTCGCTGTACTCTTTCCAATTTTCCTTATTTTTTTCTTCTCTTGTAAAATGTGAACATTCATTCTTTATTCGGAAAACGTTGTATTTTTTCATTACAGGAATGTTAGGTTCATGTAGGCTGAAGTCTTTATAATGTATCTAATTTAGTACCAATGTACAATTGGTATGTGTGTTTTCTTGGGGGTTCTTTCCACCTACTTTCCACTTTCCATCAAATGGAAAATAGAAATAGAAAATCCGACGTTTTCCAAAATACTAAGCTATACGTAAACGGCTATAGCAATATTTGTTCCAAGTGTAACTGATGAACCCTCGTCTTGTTGTCCCAGTAATGCAACTGACAGCAGCGATGGATGATGGGATCTGGGAGGCGGTGAAACGGATAGCAACTGCTTTTTGACGTCTGACAGGCTGCTATCCAATCTCAAGCGCCCGAAAAGCCCAAGCCCTGCTAAAAACCCAAACCCGAACCGAAACCCAAGCCCAAACCCATTTCCGATTTCCCATTTGTCGTCTTTCAGTTCTCCCCAGCTCGATGTGCTTTTGTTGCAACTTTCGAGCGAATATTTGCATAATAGAGCTTGATTGATGTTTGCAATTGGTGGCAGGAAGGGGGAAGCAGGGGACTCCCAGCCATTGGTAATGAAAAGCGGGCAGAGACTGAGCACCCGAGTGCTGGCCAAGATTGGGGGCCGCAGAGCCAGTTGAAGCCCGACCAGATGACGACAATGACAACAATTCGCAAACTTGTAAACACATCACCAGGCGCCTTCATATTTGCTCAGCTCGGCGAGGAATACTTTGGCTTGGTATCCTGGCGCGGATGTTGTATTTTGGGGCAAAACACCGACATCGGCTTCGACATTCACGTCGCCATCAAATGGCAGTCGTAAGTAGCACAAGGCAACACCGCAGCAACATTTGTTGCCGCCGTTGAGTGCAAATAGTTTTGGGTTTTTGCTGCTGCTCCAGATGCTCCAGATGCTCCGTCGCCGTTGCCTTCGTCACTTGCTCGTAGTTCCGCTCCTGGTCTGGACCTGGACCTGGTTTATTGTGAGTTCCCACCCATTTAAACAAGCAGCTGGCACCCATCCAGAGCAGTCGGAAGATCTAAAAGGGCCGGGCTTAGCAGTTGGCAGTGGTTTACTTTGTTTACCAGCACTAGCAAACAGCATTTTTCTTTGTATTCCATTCGCACTTGCTCAGAAAGCAAACTGTGCAGGAATCCCATAAATTGCACAACAAATCGAAGGCCATGTAATTTATGTGGGTCTGGAAAATGCCATGCATAAGTTGGCACATGCAACCAGAACGAAGGCTATTACATTTTCACCGCTTGGCTAATTAAAACGTTCAATAATTTCGAAAATATCACACTATCATCATTTTGTCGCCTCGCAATGATGAGACTGGTCGTATTCATTTGCTTACTAGCGATATTTAGCACCGGATTCGTACGGGGCATACTTCGTAAGTTCGTTATCCTAATTCATCCTTGGCAATTAATAAATAAATTATACCTTTCAGTTTGTAGAGAAACCAACAATGGTCTTTGTGTGGCTGAAAAAGAATGCCTCATAAGGCGGGGAGCTCTTTGCCCCAAATCTCAAGTGTGTTGCGTGAAAAAAACAGACTCCAACACTAACGAGGTTGAATTTATGGAGCCTTAAATTTGCTTGGAAGGAAACCATGCACGTATTTAACTGCAAATAAAGTTTACTTTGAAACTATACTTCTTACTTTTTGGGATACCGGAAATACACTATACTATAATACGTTTTTATTTAACGTTAAGCAACCAATGCCCGGAAATATACTACTGCTTTAAATTAAGTAACACGCTTTTGAAGAGCACTATAAATTCCAACCTTACAAAGAACATAACCTCAACGCCGACTCCCTACTGTTACCAATATCTGCAAGCCAGAAACCGTGATCGCAGCATTCCATAAGGCTTCCTCATTGACTTGGAGTCAAAGGACCCGGCCACGCCCTGCTTCCCTTTGGCGTTCCGGCAGCTTATTAAATGCAACCGAGCGAGACATCAAAAGCTCCTCCGACCGCAGCTAAAATGAGTGGAGACCTTCTCCAGGAGGAGACGCAGGAGGAATGGAGCCTCCATTCCCTGCTGATGTTTATTAAATAGTTGCACGACGTCGTGTGTTGGACATGCCCATTTTGCACTTGTAGCTGGAAAGTGGAAGTGGGAGGCCGGTGGTTACTTCCTGGCTTAGTGCATTCCTGCAATTCATGCAATATTTCAATTTTGCATTCACCATTTGCGACGACAGCAAAGTGTTATGGTCCACCCAGAACACTCATCGGCCGTAGGGTTTGGTTTGGGGAATTGAAAAGCGGGAGTCTGGCAGCCATGGCAACCTTTGAACTGAAATTAAAACCAAACAAATGTCACACCAGCAGCGTTTCTCCCGGGTTTTCCCACTCAGCACTCCCCCTGCCACTCCCCCCATGGAAAACACTCATTCGCCCTGTTGACTTAATGCAGAAATTGCAAATTTCGCGTTGCAGACCCTGCTGCGTAGGCAGCCAATTCGAAGTCAGTAAACTTATTTTTACCCAGCATTTGTATGCAAGTCAAGGGTGTTGGCATTAAGTTGTAAGCTGGAAGCCTCTTCCGGAAGTGGCTGTTGTTTTCGCTCCTGCAATGTATTGGCATAAATTAAATGTAGCTGTAGGAATACTATGTACTATATAGCGAAAAAGCATTTGATAAATGTTGATTAGAGTCGAAGTACGAAGTACGATTCAATTTGCAGAACCTTTGGAATACTTTCACCAACTATTATCGTATTTCAATGTACCCAACGAAGTACGATTCAATTTGCAGAACCTTTGGAATATTTTCACCAACTATTATCGTTTTTGAATGTACCCGATTTCAATGTAAGCTAGAAGCTTGCCTACCTATCCCATATATTCAATCAGAGATCGGTTTTGTGGCTATGCCATAATATAAATATAAATATAAATGCTATAATATAAATAAAGAATGTCAAGCCGATTGTATTTTTAACAAGAATCGAAAAAAAAGGTTAATTTTAATCATTAAAAGCTGGAAATAAGTTAGAAACAAGATAGAATGCTATAGTCCAGTTCCCCGTTTCTCAGCTAGCGGAAGTGCAAACGAGAACTTTCCATATTTTCCGGAATATCGGTAGAAACTTAAAAGTTCTTTAAAAGGGTGGGCGTGACAGTTTTGGGCGGCTTGTTGGCCTTAGAGTGGGCGTGTCTCTGGAAGCTAGATGCTTAATCTCAACATTCTAGCTTTTGGAGTTCCTGAGATCGACATACGGACATACGGACATACGGACATACGGACATACGGACAGGCGGACATGGTTAGATTGAATATATACTTTATATAGTCGGAAGCGCTTCCTTCTGCCTGATACATACTTTTGAGCGAATCTAGTATACCCTCTAATCCACGAGTAACGGGTATAATAAGCCCCACGGGCAAACTTTGCCCTAGGTATTGATACGTATGGGAACCAGAACCGGAGGTTTGGTATATTTGATTGTCCATATAGCATGCACAAATTCACAGATACTTATGAAATTAACTATTCTACACCTAAACTGTCCAACTTTGTATGTATGTAAGAAACTTTTTAGTTTCACCACGTACATGATTTTAATTGTGGCCTTTAATAAAATGCCTTATTTCTTCGTCGCTCCCGCTTTTCTCGCCGGTAATGTTTACTGTTTGTCTTGTGCATAATTTTCTATGTCTGGCGGGGCTTCTCTTGAGTTTTCCCTATTTTCTTCGTCGCCTGCGCTGAAAGCACATTAACGGAACTCACTTTCGCATAATGAAATTTCTGAACCCGTAGAGCGGGTCGTAAATTTATGATGCCTTGCCGCGTGAAACAGGCCACAAAGGCCAAAAATCATTTTTCATTCGGGCGCAAACATTAAAATTGTTTACTTGGCGGCTGTTAATTATGGTGTAGGCTATTAACTAAACGCACCCCAAGGACGTAGGTCGTTGGCTAATCGGCGTTCCCATAACCGAGAGTCCTTTGAACATGCCCCTGACTTGGGCCCAATTGCATGTGACACTTTTGGCGCAACAACTGCTGCCACAAATTGCTGCAGTTTCGAGTCAACATTTGCAGAGCGCCTACTTCGGGCTGGGCAACTACTAACCGCTTCCATTCCGTTTTCCATCTGGCGCCATTTACAAGTCGCATTAATCAATTTCCCCGGCGCATGTCAGCAGCAGCCTCGAAGTATTCCTATTCCTCCCCTTCTCAACTCGGAATAGATTCCGCCAGGCCAAGCGAAACCGAAAGTTGGAAGCTGCCTCATGGGCAGGATTTCGGTTTCCATTGTGTACAGGCTTATACACCAAAATTTATAGTTGTTGAAAGGAACAACAAGAGAGTTGGAAAGTCGAAGCTTATATACCCTGGCAGTGAATATGCTGATGTATACCTTTGATGTATGGAACATGACCCAAAAACCTGAAACTGTGATGTCTTTACTATTATTTCAAATTATTTATTCAATTATATTATTCAAATGATTTATTGGCGAAAGCTGGTGTATGCCCGTTATGATCAAAAACTGTAAAGTTATTTTAATTTGCAATAATTTTTCAATTATTCTATTCCGTTCCGACGTATATACTACCGTGAAAAGAAAGAAGACCTTTTAAATTAAGAATATATATACTCTATATGGTCGCAAATTGAAAACTTTTAAATGAAATTCAAATACCCTTTGTGTAAAAATTGGGTGTAAGAATATGTACTATTAATCGAATATTAATTTGAACAATTTTGAGCCCATACAGACATTTAAAGGTAATATTGTCAGTTTAAAGTAAATTGAGTAAGTTGTAACAATCCACTGTTATTCTGAGGAAAACCAGTCACAAAATTTGTATTCAACAAAGAAATGTTTTTCTACGTGTTAAGGGTAAATTATGCCAGCACCTAGAACTTGGACCTTAGATCTGGCGTGGTGCATTTTTGGTCTAGAGCCAGTTAAAACTTAATTAAAACCATAACAAAACAACATTCATATATAAAGAAGGCCATAGAGGCTGCAAAGAGAAAAACATTTCACTAGGACGCCCCGGAATAAAGTTTATGGCCAGAAACTTGGCGTTGGTCCGAGTAAATCTTTGCCGCTGAACTTGCCACACATCCCCTTGTTGTTGCAACTCGTGTTGCTTAAATGCAAAAATACCAAAAGAGAGGGACAAGATGGAAAATATGAGGAAAAGCACATTTACACACATGGATGCAATTAAAGCGAGAATGGGTTTGGCATTATTCGACCGCCATTCATTCCCCCATCTCTCGGAAAAGCTGCTCTCAACGTGTCGTTAGTTCTTTTGTGCATTTGAAATTTAATTAACACGCACACACAAAAAACACCCATACACATGCAGGGGGGAGAACGGAGCGAAGGATAGGAAACAACAAGTGACAGCAAAAAATGGCTGCAACAAAAACTAATAAAAACTCATTTCAAACAGTTTTTGATGAGCCAAGGGGCAGCAAACAGAGGCAGGACGCTCCAGAGGAGTTCTAGGATCGGACAGGACCCTCCCCACTCCTCGTACTACCTACGACCCACTGCTAATTCAGCGCCTGTTGCCATTGTCCCTGCGATGAAATGGCGGAAATGGAAGAAGAAAATGGCGAGCCAAGCAGCTTCCGCTTTTGTCTGCTTCTTTCCCTTTTTGCCCGCCATAATGAATGTCAACTTTGCTGTCATCGAGCTGCTAAGAAAACTGCGACTAAGTTGTCCCGAGCTTTAAACTTGAAAACGAACCGCTTACCTCTTTACGGACAAGTTTTATTACCAATTAGGGCGGCCCCAAAATAAGGCATTAAGTCATATTTTTAACCAGAGCTCCTGTGCTGCAGTCAAGTAGCGCTGTAAATTATACAAAAATCCATGCTAATCCTAAAATATGTTTTTGAAGCTAAATCGCTTTCAACATAAAAAACAGGCCAAAGCAAAACTATTCAATATAACATTAAAGTGTAGCTTCAATGTAGCTTTTATTAATAATGTAATTGAAATAAAAAAACGTTTACTTTTCATTTTTCATTGATATGAAAAAATAATGTTATGTTAAGCTTATACCGCATAATCGTCGAATGCGGGAGACAAGCTGGTCTGTTTTTCTAGTGGAAAACGTACCGTTTTTAATAATATTAAAGAACAAAA